TTAACTTTTTAAATTGTAAATTTTAAATTTGTCTTAAGTATTGGAGGTGTTTTAATTTGTCCCGGGCCAAATTATTTGATGTGGTTTTATACTGTCTTTTAAATTTTGTAATCTATGTGTTTTATTTTTGGGCTGTTCACCGCCCTGAGTCCTTCGGGAGTAGGGCGGTATATAAATTTAAATAAATAGATAAATAAATAAATAAATAAATAAATAAATAAATAAATAAATATCCTTGAACTAAAGGTGGTCCTCAGCTTACGACCACAACTGAGTCCAAAATGTCTCAAAAAGTGAGACATTTGTCAATAGCAATAGCACTTAAGACTTATATACCGCTTTAAAGTGCTTTTACAGCCCTCTCTAAGCGGTTTAGAGAGTAAGCCGATTGCTCCCAACAATCTGGGTCCTCATTTTACCCACCTCGGAAGGATGGAAGGCTGAATCAACCTTGAGCCAGTCAGGATCGAACTGTTGGCAGTGGGCAGAGTCAGCCCGCAATATTGCATTCTAACCACGGCGTCACCAGGAAGGAGAATGAGAAGGGAATTAAGAGAAAGAAGAAAGAAGGAAGGAAGGGAGGGAGGGAGGGAGGGAGAGAGGGAGGGAGGAAGAACAATAGCACTTAGACTTATATACCACTTCACAGTGGTTTTACAGCCCTCTTTAAGCAGTTTACAGAGTCAGCCTATTGCCCCCAACAATCTGGGTCCTCATTTTACCCACCTCGGAAGGATGGAAGGCTGAGTCAACCTTGAGCCTGGTGAGATTTGAACGGCTAAATTGCAGGCAGCCGGCAGTCAGCAAAAGTAGCCTGCAGTACTGCACTCTAACCACTGCGCCACCGTGGCTCTTGTTAAGTGAGTTTTTGCCCCATTTTACGACCTTCCTTGCCACCGTTGTTAAGTGAATCATTGCAGTTGATAAGCTAGTAAGACTTTTGTCAAGCGAATCTAGCTTCCCCGTGGATTTTGCTGGTCGGAAGGTCGCAAAAGGGGATTATGTGAGTTTGAGACACAGCAACGGTCATAAATAGGAACCAGTTGCCAAGCATCTGAAAATTTGATCGCATGATCCTGGAGATGCCGCAAAGGTCGTCCCTGTGAAAAACAGTCAAAGTCACTTTTTTCAATGCCGTTGTGCCTTTGAACGGTCACTAAAGGAACTGTCGTAAATCGAGGACTAGCTGTATTGAGATTATTTCCTATTGATGGCAAATTAGCCTGCTAAGATTGTACTGACCACTAGAGGGCAGCACATTCCTGTGTTGATGGTGGAGTGTTCCTCAATTCATTTCCTCTATTTGAAACAACTTGTTCTGTCTTATGACCACAACCGAGCCCAAAACATCCGTTGCTAAGCGAAACGGTTGTTAAGTGAGTTTTGCCCCATTTTATGACCTTTCTTTTCCACAGCGGTTAAACCACAAACTGACTTTTGACCCTGTAACCGTCATAAGTATGAAGAAGTTGCCAAGCAGCTAAATTTTCATCACCAGAACATGGGGAGGCTGCACCCGTCATAAGAGTGAAAAATGGTCATCAGTCACTTTTTTCGGTGCCGTTGTAACTTTGAATGGTCACTAAATGAATGGTTGTAAATTGAGGACCACCTGTGCAAGCGTTTCAGCACACATACTCCTTTGGTAATCTCCGCCACATTCACACCAGGTGGGTTTCAGCAGGTTCTGACCAATTCTGAAGAACCGGTAGCGGAAATTTTGAGTAGTTCAGAGAACCGGTAGTAAAAATTCTGACTGGCCCCGCCCCCATCTATTCTCTGCCTCCCGAGTCCCAGCTGATCGGGAGGAAATGGGGATTTTGCAGTAACCTCCCCTGGATTGGGGACGGAATGGAGATTTTACAGTATCCTTCCCCTGGAGTGGGGTGGGAATGGAGATTTTACAGTACCCTTCCTCTGTCATGCTCATCAAGCCACGCCCACCAAGCCACACCACGCCCACCAAGCCCCACCCACAGAACCGGTAGTAAAAATTTTTGAAACCCACCACTGATTCACACATGCATAACACTTTGTGGCCTTCGCAAATGAATTTATTAAAAAAAATAAGATTGGCCTGTTGACTAACTAATTCTTCTGCATTAAAGTGCTCTTTTTAAAAAGTGTGACTCTTGACACAAACGTTGCGGGATTCTTACAATCTTAAGAGTCTGACTGGAAGCAATATAAAGGACGGAGTAGAAGTAGCATAGCAATTTCCTTCCTTTCCTCTTTCGGAATGATATTCGAATAGTATTAGAATTAGAATAACAAGAGTTGGAAGGGGTCTTGGAGGTCTTCTAGTCCAACCCCCTGCTCAGGCAGGAATACCCTATACCAGTGATGGCGAACCTTTTCGTCACTGAGTGCCGAAAAGGGAGTGCGTGTCTGGGTCGCTACCCAGAAGAGGAGCTGCCCAGGGCACATGCGAGCGCCTGAAAATGAACTTCCGGTTTCTGGTGCTTGCATGCGCGCCAGCCAGCTAGTCCGGGTTTCTGGTACGCATGTGCTTGCGACGATCAGCTGGTCAGCGCACATGCTCACGCAAGAAAACAGAAGACCAGCTCTTCCAGTTTCCAGCACTGCCACATGCAAAAAGGCCAGCTAATTGTCGCGTGCGCATGCTGGGACTCCTTGACTTACAAACACTATTGGGACCACACTCTTTGTTGCTAAGCAAGGTGGTCGTTAAATGACTTGAGCCTGATTTTATGACTTCTTTTTTTTTGCCATGGTTGATAAGGGAATCACTATGTCAACTCGCAAAGCAGCCCTGGCCTGCTCTCAAGTTGCCATACGCAAGGGGGGGATGGGAAACCGACGAAACAGCACAGCAGCCAAAGACAGATGCACATTCCAGACTTATCTCTCTCAAGGTTGTCTCCCAGAGTTACCCACAGAGGACGGAGAGGATCTCTACAACCCATGAAATTGCTCCGTTGGCAAATATGATTGATGACATACCCTGGGGGGAGGGGGGAAACAGGGTCACGATTGGGGCGTAAATTAGGTGGGGTCAGAGCTGGCTTCACTTGAGAACGTGCAGACATGAAGCTCCTAATAAATAACTGGATTTCTTTTAAAGCTTGGCTCGAGGCTCATGATTTATTTAGGGCATCCATCAGAACCCTGACACACTAAAGTTGTTAAGCGAATCATGCGGTCGTTAAATGAACCCAGCTTCCTCCATTGATTTTGCTTGTCGGAAGCCAGCTGTTAAGGTGACAAAGGGAGATTGTGTGACCCACATCCCACTGTCATAAATATTTGCCAGTTGCCAAGCAATTTTGACCCTGCGGAGGCTGTGAATCGTTGTAATTGTGAGGACCAAATCGTAACTCAGCGCTATTGCAACTTCAAAAGGTCACTAAAGGAATGATTGTAAGTTGAGGACTACCTGTGTTTATTTAAAAAAAAAATTAGACAAGAAAGAGAGAGAGAGCAGTTATGTAAGTGTCAGGTTTCGTTGCTATCTTAAATAAACTTCATTTTCAAACGCAAAGTCTCTAATGAATCTTTTTTTTTATTAAGAATAGAGAACGACATTTCTGAACTCTTTTGCAGCCAAACTGGCCCCTCCTTCCAACACCCTCCCCTTCCGCTCTCCAACCCCAATGTCCCATTGGCCATCATGTAGATCCATCTCTTCGTCACAGCACGTTCTTTCACAGGAATTTGCCCCCCTCCCTCCATCACCCAGGTAACACTATCAGCTGTCTGCAGAAAACTAGGTAAAAGTTCATCTCAGCAATAAATCAACGCTTCTTCTCTTTCATTCATTCCAATCATGTCAGCGCTGGAAAAGAGCCTAATTTGGAACGCTGACAGTAAGCTTACAATGGTTAAGTGTTTATATTTACAGTAGTTTATCGCAAGGACTCAGACCTTTTAATTTCTATATTAACGTTTCCACAGAATTTGAAAAGGAGGAGTTTTTGCCTTTAACAACAGAGCGATTTCTTCCTTGTTTTCAGTTATCAGAGAACTGAAAAGGAAACTTTAGTGGGTTTTTTAAAAATTTTATTGATGCATTTTTCTTTAACATACATAAGTGCTTAGTGCAGTGTATTGTCTGGGTCAATTTACTTATAAATAATAATAGCAATAATAATATCTTTTACTTGTACATAGAGGTGTCCTTCCAAATTCTAATTTCTACTTCTATTGTCTAACCATTGGTAAAACAAATCCTATGTTAAAAATATTCTGTATCTACTTTATCCTTTATCTTTAATGTCAACCTATCCATTTCCGCACAGTCTAATATTTTTAAAAATATTACCAAGAGCTTTGGTAGCACAGTGGACTAATGCACTGTTATTAACATCTGCTGCTTGCAGTTACTGCAAGTTCAAATCCCACCAGGCTCAAGGTTGACTCAGCCTTCCATCCTTTCAAAGGTAGGTAAAATGAGGACCCAGATTGTGGGGGCAATAAGCTGACTTTGTATAAATATACAAAAGTATGAAGGCTATTTCTTAATGCATTGTAAGCTGCCCTGAGTCTCCGGAGAAAGGCAGCATATAAATTAAAGCAAAAAAATAAAATTAAAATAAAATTTAAAAATTATATTTTCATCTGTAGGAATTTCCTCATTTTTCCAGTGTTGTGCAAATACAACTCTCGCTGCTGTCAAAACATGTAATATTAAATATATGTTTCCTTTGTCATATCTTTCTGGTAATATACCTAACAAAAATATTTCTGGCTTTAAATCTTTAAAGACTCGACAACTGTTATCTGAAATGGTATATAGAGTTTCCTGCTTGAGTGGAGGGTTGGACTAGAAGACCTCCAAGGTCCCTTCCAATTCTTCTATTCTATTCTATTCTATTCTATTCTATTCTATTCTATTCTATTCTATTCTTATTCTACTTAAAAACTATGGCAATAACAATCACAAAATGGAGCAAAACTCATTTAACCACTGTCTCGCTTAGTAACAAAAATTTGGGCCTCAGTTATGATCATACGCCGAGACAAAAATAGGACTATTTTTAACCACAATTTTTTTTTTTATTGATGTAACTCACACAGAAATACAAACTTTGTCATTCTCATGCACAACTCATATTCAGATTCCATCTTGCATGTTCACATTGCTTCCAGATTTCCAAAAGTCCAAACACTTTTTAACAATCATTTCAGGACGAATTAGACACAATCAGCATCACACAGCAGAAAAGCAAGAAGCTTCATATTTTGGGATTGATGGGGCACAGGTGCCTTGGATTTTCAAGGACCCTTCAAACTTCATTTCAAGAGGAACGTTGGCGTCCATTCCTGTAAGGGAAGAGAGAGAAGAGTACTATATAGTGATTTGCCATAAAAATTGAGCATCAACGAACTGGGTTGACAAATCCAGGTAGTCCTCGGCTTACGACCACAATCGAGCCCAACATTTCTGCTGCTAAGCGAGCAGTTGTTAAGTGAATTTTGCCTTTCTTGACACAGCTGTCAGGAATCAGTGTTGTTGCTAGGTGAATCCCAGTTAGTGACACGGTTGTTAAGTGAATCTGGCTTCCCCGTTGACTTTGCTTGTCAGACGGTCACAAAAGGGGACCACAGAATTAAAAAAATTACAGGTGATCTTTAATTTACAACCACAATTGAGCTCAACATTTCTGTCCCTAAATGAGACATTTATGAAGTGAGTTTTGACCCATGTTATGACCGTTCTTGCCACAGTTGTTAAGCGAATCGCTACAGTTAATAACATGGTTGTTAAGTGAATTTCGCTTCCCTGTTGACTTTGCTCAGCAGAAGGTCGCATGTCCCCAGGACAATGCAACCATCATAAATATGAGTCAGTTGCCAAGTGTCTGAATTTGGATTACATATCCATGGGAATGCTGCAACGGTTGAAAAATGATCATAAGTCACTTTTTTTCAGTGCTCTTGTAACATCGAATGGTCACTAAATGAATTGTTGTAAGCTGAGGACGTGGGAATTCTAGACCTGGGAATTCCAGAGCTATGGGCTAAAACGGTGAAGCTGAAAATATTTTCCAACATAAATCTTTTTTCCAGAAAAATAAAAAAATACTGCTTGGATGCCTCCAGCACCAGAAATCAAGCATCAATTTAAAGTGCTTTTTGATTTGACTTACACATTTTCCATCATGTTCAATAAATTGTTCACCCATTTGGCTTTGGGATCAACGCAGACTTTGTGCTTGTTCTTCAGTGTGATTCTGGAAAGCAAGCAAATTGGGAGAGGTGAGTTTTTCCCCAGAAAATAATAAACCTACCTGTGGAAGGGAATGAACTGGAGCTATACAAATTAAGAAGCTCATCCAGCATGTTAGCAACAAATCAGAGAAATCCCTGATTTAACTGCGGTGACAATTTTAACTTCAATCTGAAGGGAGCCAAACAAGAAAACCTACTAAAAACACATCTTTATCACTTTTATAATAGAAAAGGGGAAGTTTGATAAGGTGGCTATGATGTTGGATTTTAGCTATTTAAGCGCCCCAATCAAGATATCCAAAGGGATGAGTGTTTTAAAAAGTCACAATGTTTGCAATTGCACAATTGAAACTCTGATCCTTTTCAAATGCATTGCAACATACAGACACACCCAAAAAACCCCTTCAATTTAACTATGTTTAAAGCATCAACTTTTTGGACATCCCTCCCCAAAATGCCTCTGTCTGAACCCAACTTCAATGCCACGATCAGCTATGGCCTGCATTCCTAGACACATTTGTGGGTAACAATAGAATGGAATAGAATTCTTTACTGGCCAAGTGTGATTGGACACACAAGGAATTTGTCTTTGATGCATAAGCTCTCTGTGTGCATAAAAGCAATGAGTGATCAATCATGATCGTAGTCCAGTGGTGGAATTCAAATAATTTAACAACCAGTTCTCTACCCTAATGACCAGCTGGTAGGCGTGGCTTGGTGGTCATGTGACCGTGTGGGTGTGGCCAACTCAATGTCACTCACGTCGATGGGCGCTTCACCTTACTGTTACAATGTAATAAGGGTTAACCAGAGAGGCAGTTTCTATAAGCAGGGCAATAAAGATTAGGCTAGAAACCCCACCAGAATGTTTCCTTCCTGCCTTCCTTACAGGATTAGCCCTGTAAAGTGGGAAAAAATAAGATTTCTTCCAAGAACCAGTTCTCCGAACTGCTTAGAAAGTTAACAACCGGTTCTCCCAAATAGGCGCGAACTGGCTGAATCCCACCACTGTCGTAGTCATCATAAAAATACCTTCATCATAAATCACAAGATACAACACTTGGTGCTAGTCATAGGATACTAAATAAGCAATCGAGATAACTCATACTAGGAAACTAAATAAAACAATATAAATCGCAAAGAGACAAGCAACAAAGTTATAGTCATAAGTAGAAAAGGAGATAGGTAACAGGAAAGATAAGAAGAATAATGCTAACACAGCCTTACTAAATAGTTTGACAGTGTTCTCAAGGGGAACAATTACATTTTCTGATGGAATTCGACACAAAAGCCGCAGAACCTAGCAAGATGTCTATTAGGAATATGACTATTACCTAACTTGTTGGGTTGGCAATATATAAACCATCAATAGTATGTTTGCATTATATTGTATTGTATTGTATAGCTTTAAGACTGCTGTATTGCATCATACTGTGTACTGATTGGTTAGCTCTATTGCCCAATGTCCTTAAGAGGGAGCTAGAAACATGGCTTGTTCTCTTTGTTGTTCTCGCTCTCTGCTTTCTCTATCCGACTTACTGTCTTACTGTTTGCAACTCTAGAAGTGTTTACTGTGTATGGTTAATACAACAGGTATGAAAACTTTGTTTATTGGACTGTGTAAACTATAATACGACTCAGTGTATCTGTGTGTTGACTGTGCTTATTCATAACTACTCTCAACCGTTTTCATGTGCACACCCTTGCTACTCAAGGGTTATATAACAATGTCCAAGGTTTACCATCGCTGAGATACATCTAATGGTCAGAGTGTCAGGTTTCGATGTCATCTCAAATAAATTGCACTCCCAAACAATTAATCTTTGCTGAAATATTCCATTTATTGAGTACGACAGATCTGGCCCCGACTTTGTCGTAGCCGATACTAACCCTCTGATCCCCAAACCCTTCCCTTTCCGTTCCCCAATTCTCATCTTCTCATTGGCCATCTTCCAACTCAGTCTCCCCAGCTTCTGACCTCAACCCACAGGAATGTCCCCCTCCCATCCCATCTCCTAGGGGATATTATCTACAGAGAAAATAAGTAGGTGAAAAGTCAAGCCTCATCTCCTCCTTTTTATGGCAACATCAGAATGCTGACACAGAGAATGAAGAAAATATCCAGGAACTAAACTCTGAGGGTAGACTACAAACATCTCAATTTTAAAATATTTCGCCAAGCAGTGACAAACCCAGAGGAATATTCTTGGCTGATCTCAAAAGCTACGCAAAAAAACCACACTTGGTTAAGTGGATGCATGTGACATTGTGGTCATTATTGTGTACATCGAAGTCAATCTTGACTCATGGCAACTTAAACTAAGTCCATGAACTACAACTAAGTCCATGAAGTCTTCAGGGCAACATTTTGGGGAAGTGGTTTGCCCTTGTCCTCTTTCCTCTTCCATGGGTTGGTTCAAGGCCATCCAGCTGGTTTGGTGTCTAAAGTGAGACCAGAACTCAGAGTCTTTCACTCTCAATAGAATAACAGAGTTGGAAGGGACCTTGGAGGTCTTCTAGTCCAACCCCCTGCTTAGGCAGGAAACCCTACACCACTTCAGACAAATGGTTAGCCAACATCTTCTTAAAAACTTCCAGTGTTGGAGCATTCACAACTTCTGGAGGCAAGTTGTTCCACTGATTAATTGTTCTCCCTGTCAGGAAATTTCTCCTTAGTTCTAGGTTGCTTCTCTCCTTGATTAGTTTCCACCCATTGCTTCTTGTCCTGCCCTCAGATGCTTCGGAGAATAGCTTGACGCCCTCTTCTTTGGGGCAGCCCCTGAGATATTGGAAGACTGCTATCATATCTCCCCTAGTCCTTCTTTTCATTAAGCTAGACATACCCAGTTCCTGCAACCGTTCTTAATATGTTTTAGCCTCCGGTCCCCTAATTGTCTTTGTTGCTCTTCTTTGCACTCTTTCTAGAGTCCCCACATCTTTTTTACATCGTGGCGACCAAAACTGGATGCAGTATTCCAAGTGTGGCCTTACCAAGGCATTATCAAGTGGTATTATTAACACTTTTTAAATCTGTTTTTAAATTATTGGGATGTTTTAAATTTGTCTCGGGCTAAATTGTTTAATCTGGTTTTATTTCTGCTTTTAAATTTTGTATTTATGTATTTTATTTTGTGCCTGTTCACTGCCCTGAGTCCTTCGGGAGTAGGGCGGTATATAAATCTAATAAAAAAACCAAACAAAGCAAACAACTTCACGTGATCTTGATTCTATCCCTCTGTTTATGCAGCCTAGAACTGCATTGGCTTTTTTGGCAGCTGCTGCACATGGCTGGCTCATATTTAAATGGTTGTCCACTAGACCTCCAAGATCCCTCTCTGATCTGGTGTCTTTAATACTTTCTAAGATAATACCAGTTCTGCAGAACAGATTGTTGGGGGCCAATAGGCTGCCTCTGTTAGTAACACGGTTTTTAAGCGAATTGGTCTTCCCCGTTAACTTTGACAGGAGGTTGCAAGAGGAGGTCATGTGACCCTGGGATACCGCCGCTGTCATAAATATGAGTCAATGTCTGAATTTTGATCACATGAGCATGGCGATGCTGCAACAGTCATAAATGTTAACAATGGTCACACATCACTTTTTTTTAGTGCCGTCGTAACTTCCAATAGTCACTCAATGAAGGCAAATATATGTGTCCTAGGTAGGATACTATTGCAAGATACACTCTAAATGAACTGTAGTAAGCTGAAGACTTGCCTGCATCAATGAGATCAGTAAAATTTGTTTCATGCGCACTTTCCGCCGTGCTCTTAAGACCCTCCTATTCCAGCAAGCCGGCCTGGCCTAATTTTCTCCCCTGTTTTAAAATTCTTTTAAATCGAAATTTTAATTTGTTTTAAATTATTGGGATTTTTAATTGTCTTGGGCTAAATTATTTAATCTGGTTTTAATTATGTTTCTAACTTTTGTATCTATGTATTTTATTTTGTGCCTGTTCACCGCCCTGAGTCCTTCGGGAGTAGGGCGGTATATAAATTTAATAAAAAGAAAAAAAGAAAGAAAAAAAGAAAATCTCCTTTGAGTTCAACTTCTGGTGAAGCAATGGTTTCCTTGTTCCTTCTTTGAGGATATTTTCTTCTTAGTTCCCAGTCTGTCTACTGCCTGAGACTTCTTGCTGGGCTCCCTTCCAAGTAGTAATCATATCTGACCGGGGTTAGCCTTTACAAGATCAACCAAGGTAAACTAAGGTCCATAGGCCTTCTACAGATGCTTCCATAAATTGCATGGGGCTTATTTTCGAATAAAGCTTGCAAAATTAGCTCCTCATCGTGGCAAAATTTCATCTGGTTCAACTGCATTTAGTTATCCCTCATTGGAAAGAGTCAGTATAGCAATAGCAATTTCACTTAGACTTATATGCCGCTTCACACAGTGGTGGGTTTCAAATTTTTTTACTACCGGTTCTGTGGGTGTGGCTTGGTGGGCATGACATGGCTTGGTGGGCATGACAGGGGAAGGATACTGTAAAATCTCCATTCCCTCCCCAATCCAGGGGAAGGATGCTGCAAAATCCCCATTTCCTCCCAATCAGCTGGGACTTGGGAGGCAGAGAATAGATGTGGGCGGGGCCAGTCAGAATTTTTACTACCGGTTCTCCGAACTACTCAAAATTTCCACTACCGGTTCTCCAGAACTGGTCAGAACCTGCTAAAACCCACCTCTGGCTTCACAGTGCTTTACAGCCTCTCTAAGTGGTTTACAGAGTCAACATATTGCCCCCAACAATCTGGGTCCTCATTTTACTGACCTCGGAAGGATGGAAGGCTGAGTCAACCTTGAGCCTGGTGAGATTCGAACTGCCAAGTTGCAGGCAGCTGGCAGACAGCAGAAGTAGACTGCAGTACTACATTCTAACCACTGAGCCACCGTGGATCATGTATGACTTAAAACACCACTGCCTGGGGGATTCTGGGAGTTGATCCACATATCTTCAAATTGCCAAGGCTAAGAAACACTGATTTACATAGAAGATAGAGAAGGACTAGCTGTATACTAGAAGACAGGGAGAAAATGCCCAGAATAAAAATGTCAGAATCTAAATTTCGCATAAACCCAAATAAACTTACATGATTTCCATGTTTCTGCAGGCAACTCCAGGTGGAAAGAGCTCAACTCTTGCATATTTTGCGGGACGAATGAAGATGCTCGTGACTCTGGCACATTTGCAGCTTAAATTCAGTGTGTCAAAGATAGCTGTGTAATTTCAGAAAAGATTATAGTTCGTTTTAGATGCAACACGAGAGTATTCAAAATGCTATTCAACGGTTTCATGGCACTTGCAGCTTGCAGTACCTTCTCTATAACATGGCTCAAAACCTAAACTTTGTTTTTTTTTTAAAAAAAAGAGCTGAGTGCATGCAGCTACATTTTCTGATTTCTAGCATCAAGTTCCTTCCAGAATGTTTCTAGAAGAATAGAATAGAATAGAATAGAATAGAATAGAATAGAATAGAATAGAAAATATGGAATGGAAGAGAAGAAAAGAGAAGAGAAGAGAAGAGAAGAGAAGAGAAGAGAAGAGAAGAGAAGAGAGGAGAGGAGAGGAGAGGAGAGGAGAGGAGAGGAGAGGAGAGGAGAGGAGAGGAGAAGAGAAGAGAAGAGAAGAGTTGGAAGGGACCTTGGAAGTCTTCTAGTCCAACCCCCTGCTTAGGCAGGAAACCCTACACCACTTCAGACAAATGGTTATCCAACATCTTCTTAAAAACTTCCAGTGTTGGAGCATTCACAACTTCTGGAGGCAAGTTGTTCCACTGATTAATTGTTCTAACAGTCAGGAAATTTTTCCTTAGTTCTAAGTTGCTTCTCTCCTTGATTAGTTTCCATCCATTGCTTCTTCTCCTGCCCTCAGGTGCTTTGAGAATAGCTTGACTCCCTCTTCTTTGTGGCAACCCCGGAGATATTGGAACACTTCTATTATGTCCCCCCTAGTCCTTCTTTTCATTAAACTAGACATATCCAGTTCCTGCAACCGTTCTTCATATGTTTTAGCCTCTAGTCTAGTCCCCTTATCATCTTTGTGGCTTTGTTGCTTCTAGTTTTGTTAAAACTAGAAAAAAAAAAACTGGTGTTTCATGACAGTTGACAATAGGATTACTGGAATGAACTTCCCTGAGATTTTTTGTTTTTTTTAAAAAAGTCCCAGTTTAGGAAGTTATTTTTAGTGATCATGCAGAGGAAGTCTGCTCACTTCAGTGTCCAGCTGAAGTTCACTGCCTTTCCTTCTTGTGCAAAAGGAAGGAGATTTAAACACATCCATTTCCCAGTTTTTGCCAGCAAGAAATAACGATGATCTCTTGGGCACATCTTAACTCCTCTGACCTATCCTACACAGGGTTTGTCAGGCTAAGAGGCTGTGCTGAGCTTCCAAAGGAAGAGAACAGATTAACTGAGATGGAAGGGACCTTGTAGGTCATCTAGTCCAACCCCTCCGGAGACCCTACACCATTTCTGACAGATGGCAGTCCAGTCTCTTCTTGAAAGCTTCCAGGGATGAAGCTCCCACAACTTCTGAAGGCAGCTTCTGTTCCATGGGTGGATTGCTCTCAACTGTCAGAAAATGTCTCCTTATTTCTAGGTTGAATCTCTCCTTGATCAGTTTCCACCCATTATTCCTTGTCTAGCCTTCACGTGCTTTGGAAAAGAGGTTGACCCACTCCCTTAAATTTACAAATCAGTTTAAATGTCACTCATACCAAGCATTCCACATAGATTACCAAGGTGCCTATAAATTAATATGTAAAATTCTGAACTTATTTAAAATTCTAAAACCACCAATGCTGTTATCAGGATGGATTTATTTATTTTATTAAGCCCATGGCACAAACGCTAAAAAAGCACATCACCACTGCGTCCTCAATGAGCAAATATGACACTACACTATTTGCGCATTCAAAGGCAGACTATTTATGCAGTCGGTACATGATGGAGAGTGAAGCAAAAGAGGAGGAAGAGAACAGCTCAGGAGGATACTACTTACTTGCACCAGTGAGGTGGCAGGCAATAAGCAAAACAGAAAGTCCAAGGAAGACACGGATACTCATTCTGGCTGTAGAAGAAGAGTCACACTTCTGTCTCAACGCTCACTCAGATGGATTTGTGGTTCCCAGCCACCTCCAATTTATTTCCTAGATCCCTCACTACACGTCACCAGCAAAGGGCTATTTTGGGAAAACATGCAAAATTGCATCACACTCCGTTTCCCACACATTTCCCTCAGAATTTGCAACGCTGAGGTTTGCAATTTGATAACCGAACCAATTGAATAGGAATTGAAGAAGCAGCACTGAAAGAATAAAGAAACTATTCTTTAATTCGAAAGGTAAATATAAAGTCTGTTAAATAAAATAAAAAACCCCCAACAATCCAGAATTGAAACTTAATATTTACCTACAGTATCACAAGTAGTCCTGAGTTTACAGTAGTGGCCAAAATTGTGAAAACCATTTGGGAAAAGTGCATTTTCTAAAACTAGCTAATAAGACCATTTTGGGGGGAGTAGTACCATAAAATTATATATCAATGGAAAGATAATTTAATCAAGAATGTAATGCAATAACTTTTATGAAGGATTTACTATTAGAATAGCAGTTACAGTATAACGAAGAAAAGTGAAACACGTAGAAAAAACGAGATGTATAAAAATTATCACCATAGAAAAAATGAGATACACAAAAATGATCACCATGTCAGTTAATACTTAGTTGGGTAACCTTTAGCATGAATTACAGCCTTACGATGTCTTCCCATGGAGTGAACCAAGTCTTTTAGTTCTGCAGCTGTTCTAATGTGAAACCAAGATTGAATGATGGCTTCTATTAACTGGGTTTTATTGCTGGGTCGCTTCTGACTAACAAGTTTCTTTAGTTCTTTACTCCATAGATTTTCAATTGAGTTAAGGTCTGGGCTATTCCCACGCCATTCCAGCAGTGGAATAGGATTCTCTTGAAACTTAAAAAAAAAAAAAAGTGGTGTTATTAGTCATCAAACCTCAAAAATACACTTTTCCCAAAAGGTTTCCACAATTTTGGCCACTACTGTACAACACTTCGTTTAGTGACCGTTTCAACATGATCAAAATTTGGACTCTTGGACGCTTTGTAGTGGTTCTCCTCGACTTACAACCTTCCCTTTAGTAACCATTCAAAGTTACAACGGGACTGAAAAAAAGAGACTGTTCTTCATGCTTATGCAGTTGTTAAGTGAGTCACACAGTTGTTCAGTGAATCCGGCTTCCTCTTTGCTCATCAGAAGGTCGCAAAAGGGGATCACATGACCCCAGGACACTGCGACGGTCATAAATAGGAGTCAGTTGACAAGCATCTGAATTTTGATCACCTGACCAAAATGTTGCAATGGTCGTAAGTGTGAAAAACGGTCATAAGTCAATTTTTTCAGTGCCGTTGTAACTTTGGTCAGTAAATGAACTCTTGTATGTTGAGGATTTAGCTGTACAAAGCGGCAAAAACAGAATTACAGTGGGAACATGAAGGGTAAAAAACGTGAATGTGGGAAGCTCAGTGTAGTGAGCAAAGAAATAAATCAGCTACCCAGTTCCATCTTAGCTTTAGCAAAATGGACTGGAATTGGTCCCTTTTACTCAGAAGATCCCACCGGTTGTCTGAAGTGATGTAGGGTTTCCTGCCTAGGCAGGGGGTTGGACTAGAAGACCTCCAAGGTCCCTTCCAACTCTCTGTTATTCTGGTTGCTACTCAGAAAATAAAAATAGCCAAGAAGGATTAAGCAAGGACAATGTTTGGGTCAATGCAATCAGTGACTGACTTTGAGGACATCCCTTAAGGTGACAATTTAAATCATCAGATTATCCAAATTTACACTTCAACCACCAAGGCAGAAGGAGGAGGAGGTGGACAGGTCAAATGGTCAAGTTCAATCTGAAATGGACAGTTCATGCTAAGGACACTGCAGTGCTCTGAGAGGTGAAAATGAAAATAGTTTGTGATTTCAAGAGTAAGGAAGCTTGTCTGTAAGACTAGGGGTGAAATCCAGCAGGTTCTGACAGATTCTGGAGAACCGGTAGCGGAAATTTTGAGTAGTTCGGAGAACCAGCAAATACCATCTCTGGCTGGCCCCACAGTGGGGTGGGGATGGAGATTTTGCAATATCCTTCCCCCAGGAGTGGGGAGGGAATGGAGATTTTGCAATATCCTTCCCTGGAGTGGGGTGGGACTGGATATTTTGCAGTCTCCTTCCCCTGCCACACCCACCAAGCCACACCACGCCTACCAAGCCACGCCCACAGAACCGGTAGTAAAAAAAAATTGGATTTCACCACTGTGTAAGACCACGATTAATGATCAAAAGATGACCAGAAGGTTTGGAGGTACAATCACTTGATGAACGGATAAAGGGAACTGGGTTTCTTTAGCTTAATGAAGAAAAAGCTGGGGGGTGGGGGAGACATGATAATATCTTCCCAACTTGAAGGGGGGAGGGGCTGTCACAGGGAAGACGGTGTCCATTTATTCTCCAAACCACCTGAACCCAGGACTAGAAGCAATGGGTGGAATCTCGTCAGAGGGAAATCCAAATCCAAAATGAAATTCAACGGTGAAAAAAGGAAGGTTCTACATTTAGGCAAGAAAAACCAAATGCACAGGTGTAGTATAGGTGGTACCTTGCTCAATAGCAGCAACTGTGAGAGGGATCTTGGAGTCCTAGTGGACAACCATTTAGATATGAGCCAGCCATGTGCAGCAGCTGCCAAAAAAGCCAACACAGTTCTAGGAATGCATCAACAGAGGGATAGAATCAAGATCACATGAAGTGTTAATAATACCACTTTATAATGCCTTGGTAAGGCCACGCTTGGAATACTGCATTCAGTTTTGGTCGCCATGAGGTAAAAAAGATGTGGAGACTCTAGAAAGAGTGCAGAGAAGAGCAACAAAGACAATTAGGAGACCGGCGAATAAAACATATGAAGAACAGTTGCAGGAACTGGGTGTGTCTAGTTTAATGAAAAAACAAGGACTATGGGAGACTTGATAGCAGTGTTCCAATATCTCAGGGGCTGCCACAAAGAAGAGGGAGTCAAGCTATTCTCCAAAGCACCTGAGGGCAGGACAAGAAGCAACGGGTGGAAGCTAATCAAGGAGAGAAGCAACTTAGAACTAAGGAGAAATTTCCTGACAGTTAGAACAGTGAATCAGTGGAACAACTTGCCTCCAGAAGTTGTGAATGCTCCAACATTGGAAGTTTTTAAGAAGATGTTGGGTAACCATTTGTCTGAAGTGGTGTGGGGTTTCCTGCCAAAGAAGGGGGTTGGACTAGAAGACCTCCAAGGACCCTTCCACCTCTGTTATTCTATTCTATTCTATTCAAACCCAGAACTGAGGAGAAATTTCGTGCCATTGAGAACAATTAGCCAACGGAGTTGTGGTGCTCCATCGCTGGAGGTATTTAAGAAAAGATTGGACAACCAACTGTCCCGGATTGGTATAAGAAATCCTGCCTTGGGCAGGGGGTTGGACTAGAAGATCTCCAAGGTCCCTTCCAGCCCTGTGCTTCTATGAAGTTTCCTCCATTTTGAAATAACAGCATGAAGGAAAATCTTCTCACAAATCCCCACAGATTTGATTTGAATTGAGATGAAGTGGAAAGGCCCTTGTTGCCAGTAAGATCGGAAAACTGAGCAAGCATTTTTGCCTCTGTTTCCCCTTCTGTTGTTCTCTTTGCATAGGGGAGCCATTCTTATCCATCTGGCTTCAATAAGAGACGGCCATCGACTTCCTCTTTGGATAAAAGCTTGTGTAGGAAGGTCCCTCTTTTTCATAACCTCTAAATTGCCTCTAAAGAGTGCAATTCCTTTTCTGATAGGGGATTTACAGCCACTGCTGAAGGAAGAAAAGATCAGCAGAAATGCCTTAACAGTACAAATGCGATGAGGGTACAAAAAAAAGGCAAATTTAAGTGTCGTAGGATGACCTCTGGGACTGGATCATCAGGCTTTGGAGAAAATAACGGAGAAATTGACGGAACTGGCAGACATGGCTAAATTAACTGTTTCCCTCAAAGAAAAAAATACATCCAATTTTGTTTCCACTTGGAAAACGATTCTAGGTTTTGCACGCGAGACAGGGGGAAAAAAATGAAATTCTGACTTTGGGATTGGCAGATTAGAAACTTTTGTTGCTGTCGAAATGGATAATATTTAAAGGTAAAGGTTCCCCTTGCACATATGTGCTAGTCATTCCTGACTCTAGGGGGCGGTGCTCATTGTCGTTTCAAAGCCGAAGAGCCACCACTGTCTGATGACAATTCCATGGTCATGTGGCCAGCATGACTAAACACCAAAGGGGCACGGAACGCTGTTACCTTCCCACCAAAAGTGGTCCCAATTTTTCTACTTGCATTTTTTTACGTGCTTTCAAACTGCTAGGTTGGCAGAAGCTGGGACAGGTCACGGGAACTCACCCCACTACGCGGCACTAGGGATTCGAACTGCCGAACTGCTGACATTTTGATCGACAAGCTCACTGTCTTAGCCACTGAGCCAGTGCGTCCCTTACGGCTAGTATTTAGGCAAAAGTAAAAAGTTGAGGCTGTAATTTTATGATCTTTATTCTACTGAGATGAAAGAGTTGTTGGGTGGCCTAGGGCAGGGGTCTCTGACCCCCCCCCAGGACCACAGCCCACTACCAGATTGTGGCCTGTTCGAAACTGGGCCGAGGGAGAGATGGGCAACTGTGCGCAAAGCTCCTCTCACGTGAGCGGAGGGCACTCGTGCTTCTGTGCAAAGCTGCATTTGCATGAACAGAGTTTTGTGCGTGAGCAAATGCGCCCCCCCCCGCCTCGCACGAGTGGAGCTTTGTGCACAAGTGCAAGTTCCTGCCGCTCGTATGAGTGGAGCTTGTTAGGATATGGTTTGAGCCTAACAAGTTGTCCAGGCAATACATGTGTTCTGTAACTTTAATATGAATATGTATTGTGTGACTTTAAAGTTTTCCTGCTGATTCATTGTAATGCTGAGTTGTGCTGTAATTAGTTGTGAACGTATTTAAGAAAGGTACTGTAACGTATT